GAATTAAAGTCCACAGAGACTTGAGGCAAGAAGACAAGTTAGAAGGCTATTCCAATAGTCCAGATAAGAACTAGGGTTGTTGTTGTGAGAGGAGGATATTTATGGAAGATGTTTTAAAAATAAAAATGACAATATTTGACAAGAGATTGGCTATATGGGGTGCGTTGAGGGAGTAGCTGAGGATACATGTCAAGAGTGATTTGGAGGATGGTGGCATCCTTGAGAGAAATAGGGAAGTTTAGGAGAGAGGAGGCCTTGAGAGGAAAGATAATGAGTTTTGTTTTATATTTGTCTACTAGGCACCAGTTAGGGATGTCCAGAAGCAGATAGTGATATATGACTGTAACCCAAGAGAGAGGTTATGCTAGATTATGGTTATGCTGGTTATATAGATCTGGGAATCATCTGTGTAGGGCTGATAACTGAACCTGTGGGAGTTGATCATCAAGTGGGAGAATAGAGAGGGAAAAGAGAAGAGAGCCCAGGATAGAGCCTTGAAGGACTCCTGTAGTTGGTGGGAGTCACATGGATGAAGAACCCAGTAAAGGAGACTGAGAAGAAGCATTTGGTCAGACAGATATGTGTGACAAGTGTCAACCAGACTGAACCAGATGGTTGAGCTGAACAGAGCATGTTAGAGACAGGAGAGTCAGGAATGAAACAGAAGTTTAATTTCGAAGTTAGCAAGGAGGGGATGCACCAGGGCCCTGCCACTAGTTGGGGGGTCCTGCTTTAGTGTAGGCAGATCTTAATACTTATGCCTATGGACACAGGTATATATTCCTCTCAATATAATGTATGTTCCTTGTGGGCAGGGATTATTTCATTTTTGTCTTTATATTTCTATGATCTAACACAGTGCATGGTACACAGTCGGTGCTCAATAAATGCTTATTGATGGATTTATTGATTGTTCCAAACAAAACAAAACAAAACAAAACAGCTAGCTAGTATGAGGCCAAGGGATCATCTCTAAGATGCTAGAATTCTGGTGTGTGTAATAGGCTAGACATTACTGAAGGTTTGGCTGAAAGAGCCATATCACTGACTACATTCAGAGGGGAAGTCTAAATTACCATATGATCCCACCCAACAACAACAAAAAACTGAAAAACGTGGTGGGGTATACAAAGAGACATAGCACAAAACCTCTACCCTTGTAGAGCTTATATTCTAGTTAAGGAAATAAGATATGTACACTTGGAAACATAATTATAACAGAACAGCAGAATGGTAAGCAAACAGATGTGGGTCTAAGTTCTGGCTCAGCTGCCAGAATTCTAGCATCTTAGAGATGACCCATTAATTCTAACCTCCCATAGGAATACTTTGGAAAGAGCAATGAATTTGGAGTAAGAGGATCTGGGTTCATAGAATGGGAGGATTTAGAACTGGAAGGGTCCTGAAAGGTCATTTATTCAATAGGCAGCCTGATTCTCTCTACTTTCCCTTAGGATTAAGAACAATCTTTCTTTGCCTGTTTCAGAGGGCTAGAATAGAGTAGAATGTCACAATTCACCTATTCCAGTTCCCTTATTTTATAGAATATTAAACTGAAAATGAACTAACGTGCTTAAAATCACATAGGAACTTAAGAATTGGACCTCTGAGATCTTTAGTAAGTCACTTTACCTCTCTATACCTCAGTTTCCTCATTTGTAAAATAAGAAAATCTGGTTTGATGATTTCCCTTCTAGCTTTAAATCCTGCAGCTACTCTAAAACATTTTTGTTGGCTTAGACACCAAAGTGTTTGGACAGGAAGTGACAGGAAACTTACCTCATAAGGCAACTAATTCAATTGCTATGTGATCTTGTAATAATCTTTTTTAACCTTTGGGGTTCTCCATTTACTCACCTTTCAAGTGAATAGAACTTGATATAGATGAGAGAACATTGTATTTAGAGTCAGATGATCCAGGGCTTTCCCATTTAGGGGACTTTGAGCAACAAGTGCAAGGGCAGGAGAGGACTGAGTCAATCACTTAGGAACCCCACTAACAGTAAGTGACAATATACAAAGATAATCAATCAGAGATGTGAACTAGGTGTGGACAAGGTCTAGGCATCTCATCAATTCAATTCAATAGGCAATCTCATTCAATCAACAATAGACTAACTGTAGGAAAAGTCCACAGCCCATCAATTTAAAAGTCCTTGAAGACCACTGGATGAAGTGAAATTGTTGTACCGAGAAATCAGCGAGCGAGACCCAGGCGTAACTTAAAATGTGGATTTATTAGTGCACGGCTATGCACATCCAAATCAAGCAGCCCCCATCAGGGTTCGAGCTAGGGTTTATATGGAAAAGAGCATGGGAAAGAAATTCCAGGAACACTGATGAGGTAATCCAAAGGTGCAGGTGTCTTTGGGGGCTATGGATGGGAAAGTACAGGGAGTATACTGGACAGGGAAGGGGATGGATCATTGGAGTCTGGCAGGAGGAAGAGTCCTTGAGCTGGCCAAGGACACCCCTCTCCCTCTGTCTTGGTGAAAGAATGCTCTGCAACAAGGGAAAGTTTTCTCACAACAGAGGAACTTACTAAGGAATTGGGAGGCTTCCAGAGACATGATCTGAGGGCTGGGGCCTGAGCAGCCCAGCTCTGTATAGCTGTACCAGGGAGAGAGATAAGGGTCATGCTGAGGCCCATGCATGAATAACTGCTAGGCACAGTGTCCTTGGGCTGAGGAGTGGTTGTTGGAGACAGTGTTTCTGAGACAAGGGAGAAATTGGGGCACAAGTACAAGCACAAGCACCCAAGCACCCCATTATTACCGGTCAGAGATCACACAAACCAGATCAGGTGTCCTGGTCTCTGGTATAAACATAATTATCTAAAGCAATTATATTGCAAGCTTTCTTATCTATTTGCGTTGGAGGTAAGGGCTATGCTGAGCTATGCAAGAGTACATTTCACTATTGTTTAGATTTAGGAGGAAAGAGGTCTGGGGCAAGATTAAGCACCAGCTTTTGCTTTCCATGGCTTAAAGGGCCCTACTACCTAAATGGCAAAATAATGTTCTGCATTACAAAATGATTACTCACAATTTGCTTGGATTGGTTTAGGAACCTGGTCATACTCTGTCCTGCTTGGATAAGATCTTTGAGCTAGCTTGGAATTAGAAATTTGAACATCTAGCACATTAAAAGTTACAATCCCTTGAGAAGGACTCTATAGGAGGATAGGAGAGTGCCTCTGACTAGGTCTCCTCTCCTCCCTACCCACATCCTGAAGAAGAGGACCTTGTGAACTTTGGAGGGTCAGAGAAGACTTTCTATCAGCAGCCTAGAAACTTCTCTATTGTAAGACTATAAGCTCCTGGAGAGGCCCAACTGGATTTTATATTGTCTCACCTCCTGAATCTTTATCTGGAGGCTTTAAGTGTTCCGTCTTTGGAATAATTCAATTCAATTCACTTTAAATTCAGTTCAACAAATGTTTACTGATTTTGTACTAAATGGGTTGTGCAAGGTGCTAGGGCTGGGATGGGGAACCTGCACATATAGCCTAGAGGCTGAAGGTTCCTCAGCCCTGTACTAGGGCTACACAGACAAAGCCTAGATAGGGTCCCTGTCTTCTAGGAGCTTACATCAGACTGGGGAGTGGAGGAGGAAGATACAATTTGTATGTAAGTAATTATATACAAAGTATATACAAAAACAACAATGTGTTTTCTCTGGTGAGAGTACATTAACAACTAGGTGGGAGGGGGGAGATCAGGAAAGGTGGCACTTGAACTGAGCTTGAAAGGAAACAAGCAATTCTGAGAGACAGTTTGTGCAAATGCAATAGAATAGGGAAGGTGGTTTAGGGGGAACAGAAAGGAGGCCAGTTTCACTGGAAAGGAAAAAGGGGAAGTAATTCAACAATAACAACAAAATAGGATTAGAAAGGTACCTGGGAGCTAGATAGCAGAGGGTTTTTAAATGCAATGTCTCTACATTTCCCTGATCCTCTCCCAGTTGACATCCCTACCTTTCTCTTTCTGTTTCCTTATATTTTATTTAGTTGTATACCTGTTGTATCCTCATAGCAGTATGTAAGCTCTTTGAGGGTAGGGACTGTTTGTTTATTTTTGTCTTTATATCCCTAGATTCTAGCACAGGGCTTTTCACGTGGCAGGAAATGAATAAATGCTTTTGTGCACTAAATTTAATAATAAGCCTTGCATGTAGTACTAAATATTTGAAAGATACTTTCTGACTGATGCATTATAATAGTCTGGGTCCTTTTTGGCTCAGTAGGTTATGATAATTGCATCTTATGACTATTAACAATGGGAGAATGTCTGTGATTTCAGAACTGTGATTTTAGTGGTGAAAGGAAGATGCATGCGAGAAAACCCTCTCCACTTGTGAAGAAATGCAAGTCGTCGATAACTTAGAGTTGCCTGGACACTGAGAGATTAAATGACTTGCCTACAGTGACAGGCGAGCATACATCTGGAGGAAAACTTGATCCCAGTTCTTCCTAACTCCAAGGTCGTACCCTCTTCCTCCATTCCACGCTGCCTCCCAGACAAAATTGCATTATTATCTCTTCTTATCCTCAGAGTCCAGGGAAAGAAGGAGGGAGGGGAGAGCAAAGAGATATCCACCGAGACAGATTTTATCTCAGCTGTTAAATCGCCTACATCCTTTTCCCTTTATCCTTAGTTTAAAGCTTTTGGTTTCTTTTCGTGTGCGTGTGTGTGTGTGTGTGTGTGTGTGTGTGTGTGTGTGTGTGTGTAGGGGGTGAACATGATGACGTGGAAAAAAAAGAAAGGAAGAAGCAAGTCGCGTGGGAAGAGAAATGATGACTTACAGTATGTATTTATTTATTCGCAACTCCCCGTTCCCGCCTCCACCCTCCACCATTTCACCCCTCCACCCTAGGGGGCCCGTGTCTCCTGAAACCTCTAGAGGGAGTCTCTCTTTTTTTTTTCCCCTCATCTCCACCCCCCCTTCTCTTCCACTGTCACAGCTCCTCCTTTTTCTCCACCTCCCGCCCCTTACCTCCTTCCCTAGGGCTACAGGGAGGTGGCGGTGGCTGGGCTACTTTAAGGCCGGCCCAGTGGCTGGCCCCCGGGGGCACTGTCTCTTTAAAAGGCTGTATCTTGTCCAGCAGTTGCTGGGGGGAGGGGGGCTGTCGATGACCATTGTTTCTGGCTGGGGTGGTTCTGCCCCCTCCCCTTCTCCTCCTTCTCCGCCCTGCCCCCTCCTCCCTCTTCCTCCTCTCCACCCCCCCTCTCTCGCTCTCTCCCTCTCCCTCTCTCGCCCTCTCCCTCTCGGGCTCGGAGGCTGCGAGAGAGCGCGCGGCATCGGAGACGCGGAGCTCTATGTAGGCTCTTGCTCGCTGCATTGGTGCACCCGCCTCCCGGGCACAAGCACACCTACCTAGATTTAATTGGCAATTAAAGTAGTGTTGGGGGAAAGAAAAAAAAAAGGCAGGAGCACAAGATGGCTGAGCTAGGCAGTAAGGGAGTGACCGCAGGGAAAATAGCCAGCAACGTGCAGAAGAAACTCACCCGTGCGCAGGAAAAGGTAAAGGATGCGCCGGAGTCGTCCGGGGCGGGGGTCTGGAATCTCCAGCGAGTGGGGTGGGGACAGACAGTGATCCTTAATGCTACTCATCCTTTCACCTCCTTTGCACTGCTAACATAGCAATCTGGGCTGTCATTGCAGAGACGTGTGTGTGTGTGTGTGTGTGTGTGTGTGTGTGTTGGGTTGTTTGGGGGAGCCGAACGTTTGATATCTTCCTTGCAACCAAAGCAGCCGCCCGAGCTATGCTCACTGTGTGTGTGTGTGCAGAGTACCTGTCATTTCAGAAGACCCCCTCATGCGTTCCCTGTTCGCCCTTCCATGTTACGTCTTCCCCCGGCTCTGTCCTGTCATTGTAGTATTGAAGGGTTTGGGGTACCTGCGGCCTCTGTCCCCTTAGCTCTAGGAGCCCTCTGGAGAGGGTGGGGCGAGGAGCGGGTCACCATATGGCCTGGCACTGGAGAGCTTTGGGCGCCGGACGGACCCAATCCGTCATGATCTGTTCACTCCAGGTGGCTTCCCTAAATCTTGCATCCATTCCCTGTCCCTGGGGATTGCAGCTCTTTTCTCCCCCTAACACCAGCATAGTGTCCACCAAAACATTCTCTGTGAGCATTTTAGCCTCATGTTGTCCTTGGGGGCTTTTCTAGCTGATTCCTTTTGGGGGAATCCCCGAAACCTCCACTGGAGGGAGACGCAAGAAGGGGAGGGAGGAGTGGTGAATGGTGACATGCTCTGTGTCCCCCAGCCGGGTGAGGTCTGAAGGGTCTGGCACCAGGGTAAATGGCTAGATTTCACGATAAAAAAGGTTGTGAGGCTGACACACCAGTGTGGGGGACACACCACTTCTTTCAGCCTCAGAATAACATTCACAACGGCAAGGTGGAGGAAGCCCCATAGCTCCCCGTTATAGAGTCCTCATTTAAGGATTTCCCTAAACACCTCCATTTATTCAGAATAAATTTTCAGTGTCCAGAGTCAAGGTGGTACCCTAGCCTTCCACTCCCTAAATCTTTTTCTTCTTTTTTCTCTATACACCTTTAAAAGCTTCAGCTAGAAGAGGAATCCTGTGCCTCTCTATCGGTGTCTGGGGCTTCCCATTCTTCCCCTAGTTTTCTTAAAACAGGAGGATTGTGCAGCTGAGTATATGGGGGGAAATCCCGCATATTCCTCTCCATGTATTGTACAATCCCTTCACTAAATAAGAAATATTTCTTCTAGGGCTATTTAAACTAATTTAAAAAGGGTTCCCTTCTCCCTAACATCAACCGAGCTACCCAAATAGGAGATCGTTGGATGTCCTATACTGAGAGGAGGCAAAGAGAAGAATTGGTCTTTGGAGTGGCAGCAGGGGGTTTGGAGATGCCTCCTGGGCAGAAGGATTCTAGGCTGTCATTGAGAAGTTCTTGGGTATTAGATGTTAGGAAGCAGTGGGAAGCAAAGATAAATGCCTTATGGTAAGGAATAGGAAAGCGGAATGCTGTGCAGGCCTCTGAAAAAATTGCTGACTCTTGGAAATCCGTGACACACCCTGACCCTATTCTTCTCAAAGCCCCTAGATCCTTACTGTTTCTGTCTGAGGGCCCTTGAAGAACCAGACACCCCTCTGGGGGCAATAGATGAGTTCTAGCAGGGGTGGGAGCTAAGGGCTTCCCCAGTGCCCTGGCTTGAACCACATTAAAATCCCATCTGCTGTCAGGGGCCATGCTCAGGGAGTGCAGGAAATCCAAGGATTGGTGGGTGGGTTTATGTGCATGTGTGTATGTGTGTTCCATTCCAAACTACCTCCTGGGTTTATAGAATTTGGATCACGGCTGCTGCTGACGCAACTTCCCATTGCCGGCTTTGACTCTGAAATCCTGAGAATGCAGAATCTGGCCCTATAATCTTTAGGAAGAGAGCAGGGCAGCCCCTCTCCCCTGAAAGGATATATTCCCCTCTTTCTCACCCCCAATTCCCATCCTTCCCTGTGGGGAATCTGCTAGCCTGCCTGTAAAGACTTAAGGCCTCGTCTGAAATCAACCCCCATCACCATCTGGGGTCTCCTTTTTCCAACCAATTGGTTGTTAAGGTTTGTAAATGAATGACTTTTGCAGCTGAGGCCACTGTGGCTCCCCTACTTGCCTTGAAGTCTTTGCTCCCCAGGGATGTTCTTTGGCCACGTGACTTAGGGTTGGGAATAGCATTATCTCTGTTTATTTTCTTCCTTCCCTCTATGATTTGTTTCTCTCTGAGCACAAGCCCTTTTAAGAAGAGAGACCTCTGAGTGTGTTCTGAGGAGGGGTGTGTGTGTGTGTGTGTGTGTGTGTGTGTGTGTGTGTGTGTGTGCGCGCACGCATTCTTTTCTGTGTTTCAGAGCTCATCCAGGCTGCAAACCTGCCCTCTAACTATCCCCTCCCCCAACTGATGGGGGGATTAATGTGTTTATAGAAAGCTATTGTTAGTCTGGAAGGCCTTGACTCATCCATCTCACTAGTGGGAGTGGGGAGTACATAGGACCTGTCTGAAGTGCTGGGACAGGCTGGCTTCTCTTTTTGCCCAGCTCCAAATCGTAGGGTTGTACCTGTCAGATGCCACCATAAAGCAGATTATTGGGTATTTAAGCAGATTCTCTGATAGCAGCTCTTCTCCTGAGCTAGATCCCTCCTCTCCTGAGCTATGGCCAGAGGAATCTTCAAGTTCTATCCCTTTAATTTGGACTCCATCTCCATGTCTCTCCTCAGATGGGGTTCACTGTCCTTTGCCTTCATTAACAATCCTCTGCAGCATGTATAACCTCTTTCAGTGGGGGTAAATACTGTACTATATGCATAGGGATAATACATGTTATCACTCTCTACTCGCCTCCAACTCTTCTCATCCCTCTTTCTGACTTTGTTTGACTTCCAGAGGCTGGACCCTCTGCCAGCTGGCCAGTGGTGGTTAGATTAGATTGTCAAGGGGGCTGGTGAGCACGTATATACCCCCTTCAAACCTTTACCTCTGCCAAAAAAAAAATCTGTTCAGAACCATGAGATGGAACTAAGAGCTAAACTAAAATAGAATGCTGGACAATTCACTGTGTTTGAATTGGAGGTGATCTTCAGTGAAAGGCTAAGGAGGTGGTATTTCATCTGACATTGCTTCCTTTCCAGTGGTGAAGACAAGGAGTACTTCTGAGACAACTTCTCTACTCGACTTAAAAGATAGATTTAATAGTAACCCTGGGCAGGGTTCCAAGAATATAGTGTTTTTCCATCCTCATTCTCCTATCCTTTCTGTTTGTCCAAAATTAATTCTTCTGTAATATCTGTCCAGTTCAGTGACCTCTCCCTCTTCTAAATTCCTCTAGCTATCTCTTATTTTTATGAGAGATATTATGACATAGACAAAACAAAAAACAACCAACCAAAAATCCCACTGGACCAGGGGTCAGAGTCTCTGTCTCTTTCTCTCCTTATGTCTAAATCTGTGTATCTACATCTATACATGTAAATGACATTCTGTGAATATGAAAGAATCAGAATCATAGAAATTTTGAATTCAAAGAGACCTAAGCCACCATTTATTTCAACTGGTATGTGAACAAGAATTCTCCTGCTGACAAGTGGTAATCCAGCTGTTTCTGTAAGACCTCTACTTAAGGGAATACAAAACCCAGGGGCTATAGTGAGGATCAAATGAAATTAATGTATATAAAGCACCTTGCAAACCTTAAAGTTCCATATTAATGTCAGTTACTATTAAGGTTATTATGATTCTACTTTGAAAAGCAGTCCTTTTCACTTCTAGATGCCTCTAATTGCTGGGAAACATGTGAGTGTGTGAATACAGGCTGCTAGGTGGTTCAGTGAATAGAGCTCTGGGTCTAGAATCAGGAAGAACTGAGTTCAAATGTGACCTTAGATGCTTATTAGCTGTATGATCTTGGGCAGGTCACTTAACATCTATTTGCCTCAGTTTCCTCAACTATTAAAAAAAAGTAAAGTGCTTAGCATAGTGTCTGGCACGTAGTGGGCACTATATGAATTTACTCCCTTCCCCTCCTTCCTGGATATATTAACAAAGGAACCTGGTCTTTTATCCTTATTCCATCTTAACCTTTATCATTGACAGGGATATACAAATCCAGATTGAAGCTGCAGAGTTCCAATTCCTTATATGGTTCCTCATAAGATATACTTAAATGTAGAGACCCCTGAATGCCAGGTTAAAGGACTTGATCCTGAAGACAGTGGGAACTATTCATGATTTTTTTGAGCATGGAAATTATTTGTTGAGAAGTAAAGAAGGGAACAAAATACATAGCAATAAAAATATTTTTTGGACTTTTCTCAAGGAGCTGAAAGTTGGGTGCTTGGAGTTCCATTTGAAACAAAAGTATGTGGAAAGAGCTCTGGACTTAATGACATTATTGCTCTGCCATATACTAGCCATATAACTATGGTCAAATCACTTCAACCCTCTGGGCCTTTGTGTCTTCATCTGTAAAATGGGGATAATCATACCTAAATTGTTTGCCTTCCGGATTTGTGGTAAGGAAAGTGCCTTGATAACTTGTAAAGTTCAATGTATTATTACATGCCACTCTGGACAAGCAACAAGTCTACCATATGCTTTCATGTTTATTGTGTTTCTTTTATGTTTACTGTTTAAGAGACCATTTTGCAGGATAAAAGGATATATTTTCATAACTGAATAAAAGTACTGTGATGTAAAACATCTTCTGGACGACTCTGCTATTAGCTATAATGATGAGATGATGTGTATTTATTTCATCCTGCTCCTCCCACATAGTTTTTATTTCTTCCCTTAGGTCTTTGTACTCTGGGAATCTTTAATATTACGTAGTTTGGATATTATGAGAATTGGATATGTAAACATCTATTTAAAATGCTATTCTTTATTTAAAAAAGCAAAGGAGGAACTGTGGTATAGTCAATCAGTCAGTCAGTAAACTTTTATTAAGTGCCTATTATGTGCTAGGCACTGTATTATGTGATGGGATACAAATTCAATAAATG